TTTTTTTTTTTTTTTTTTTTAAAAAGGGGGCTAAAGTAACACTTTTCTACATATATAAATTATAGATGCTAAACTCATGCACCCCATGGGAGCTCAATAAAGATTGATTGAATTCAGTTTATGCTTTTATTTATTTTCCTTGCATAGTTTGACAGAGCTAAAATACACATTCTGATTTGTGTTGCCAAGAAAAGCCCTTTCTCAAGCAGATTTATTTACATAAATTACATATTTTTATTTACATAAATCTACTTGAGAAAAATAAAGCAGATTTATTTATACAACTGACTATTTGATTAAATTGACGCAGAAGGCATTCTGGCCTTTTGTATCGTTATTGCTTCTGTAGGATACAGTGTATGAGGGCAAAGAGGTCTTTTTAAAATTATACTTTAAGTTCTAGGGTACGTACGCAGAACGTGCAGGTTTGTTACATAGGTATACACGTACCATGGTGGTTTGCTGCATCCATCACTCCATCATCTACATTACCTATTTCTCCTAATGCTATCCCTCCCCTATCCCCCTACCCGCTGCTATCCCTTCCTAATCCCCCAACCCCCAACAGGCCCCAGTGTGTGATGTTCCCCTCCCTGTGTCTGTGTGTTCTCATTGTTCAACACCCACTTGTGAATGAGAACTTTTAAGTTCTAAGTTTAAGAAATTTATACTTTAAGTTCTGCAGTGTTTGCTTTTTGTTCTTGTGTCAGTTTGCTGAGAATGATGGTTTCCAGCTTTATCCATGTCCCTGCAAAGGATATGAACTCATCATTTTTTATGGCTGCATAGTATTCCATGGTGTATATGTGCCACATTTTCTTTATCCAGTCTATCATTGATGCATTTGGGCTGGTTCCAAGTCTTTGCTATTGTACACAGTACTGCAATAAACATGTGTGCAAGTGTCTTTATAATAGAATGATTTATAATCCTTAGGGTATATAACCAGTAATGGAATTGCTGGGTCAAATGGTATTTCTAGTTCTAGGTCCTTGAGGAATTGCCACAATGGTTGAACTAATTTACATTCCCATCAACAATGTATAAGTGTTCCTATTTCTCCACATCCTCTCCAGCATCTCTTGTCTCCTGATTTTTTAATGATCGCCATTCTAACTGGTGCGAGATGGTATCTCAATGTGGTTTTGATTTGCATTTCTCTAATGACCAGTGATGATGAGCTTTTTTTCATATGTTTGTTGGCTGCATAAATGTCTTTTTTTGAAAAGTCTCTGTTCATATCCTTTGCCATCTTCTGGGGTTGTTGTTTCTCTTTTTAAGTTCTGGGGTACATGTGCATAACATGCAGATTTGTTACATAGGTATACATGTGCCAGGCTGGTTTACTGCATCCATCCCACTGTCATCTACATTAGGTATTTCTCCTAATGTTAGCCCTCCCCAATCACCCCACTTCCTGCTATCCCTCCCCTAGCTACCCCACCCCCTGACAAGCTCCAGTATGTGATTTTCCCCTCCCTGTGTCCATGTGTTCTCATTTTTCAACACCCGCTTATGAGAACATGTGGTGTTTGGTTTTCTGTTCTTGTGTCAGTGTGCTGAGAATGATGGTTTCCACCTGCATGCATGTCCTGGCAAAGGACATGAACTCATCCTTTTTTACGGCTGCATAGTATTCCATGGTGTATATGTGCCACATTTTCTTTATCCAGTCTATCATTGATGGGCATTTGGGTTGGTTCCAAGTCTTTGCTTTTGTAAACAGTGCCACAGTGAACATATGTGTGCATGTGTCTTTAAAATAGAATGATTTATAATCCTTTGGGTATACCCAGTAATGGGATTGCTGGGTCAAATGCTATTTCTAGCTCTAGATCCTTGAGGAATAGCCACACTGTCTTCCACAATGGTTGAACTAATTTATACTCCCATCAACAGTGTAAAAGCATTCCTACTTCTTCATATCCTCTCCAGCATGTGTTGTCTCCTGATTTTTTAATGATCGCCATTCTAAGTGGTGTGAGATGGTATCTCAACGTGGTTTTCATTTGCCTTTCTCTAATGACCAGTAATGAGCTTTTTTTCATATGTTTATTGGCTGCATAAATGTCTTGAGAAATGTCTGTTCATGTCCTTCACCCACTTTTTGATGGGGTTGTTTTTTTCTTATAAATGTGTTTAAGCTTTTCGTAGAGTCTAGTTATTAGCCCTTTGTCAGATGGGTAGATTACAATTTTTTTTTCCCATTCTGTTGGTTGCCAATTCACTCTAATGATAGTTTCTTTTGCTGTGCAGAGCTCTTGAGTTTAATTAGATCCCATTTGTCTATTTTGGCTTTTGTTGCCATTGCTTTTGGTGTTTTAGTCATGAATTCCTCGCCCATGCCTATGTCCTGAATGGTATTTCTTAGGTTTTCTTCTAGGGTTTTTATGGTGTTAGGTATTATGTTTAAATCTTTAGTCCATCTGGAGTTAATTGTTATATAAGGTGTAAGGAAGGGATCCCATTTCAGCTTTCTGCATATGGCTAGCCAGTTTTCCTGTCACCATTTATTAAATAGGGAATCTTTTCCCCATTGCTTGATTTTGTCAGGTTTGTCAAAGATCAGATGGTTGTAGATATGTGGTGTTACTTCAGAGGCCTCTGCCCTCTTTGTTCCATTGGTCTATATTTCTGTTTTGATAACAGTACAATGCTGTTTTGATTTCCATAGCTTTGTAATATAGTTTGAAGTCAGGTAGCATGATGCCTCCAGCTTTGTTCTTTTTGCTTAGGATAGTCTTGGCTATGCATGCTCTTTTTTGGTTCCATATGAAGTTTAAGGTAGTTTTTTTCCAAATTTGTGAAGAAAGTCAATGGTAGCTTGATGGGGATAGCATTGAATTTATAAATTACTTTAGGCAGTATGGCCATTTGCAAGATATTGATTCTTCCTAGCCATGAGCATGGAATGTTTTTTCATCTGTTTGTGTCCTCTCTCATTTCCTTGAAAAGTGGTTTGTAGTTCTCCTCGAAGAGTTACTTCACATCCCTTGTTAGTTGTATTCCTAGGTATTTTATTGTCTTTGTAGCAATTGTGAATGGGAGTTCAGTCATGATTTGGCTCTCTGTTTTTCTGTTATTGGTGTATAGGAATGCTTGTGATTTTTTCACATTGATTTGGTATCCTGAGACTGCTGAAGTTGGTTAT